GGTTTATCCGGGTGAAAACTAAAGTTTTCGGCTTCGGTCGGGGCAATGTTAGTGGCATACTCGTCGCTTCCCGCTAGGGGTGTTGCCTTGGAGGCTCGGTCTTTTCACCATTGGGCAATGGCTTATGTTGCCTTATGGCTTCACCAACGCCTAGGTAGGTGCATCGTGCACGGTCCCATGACCAATGTGCCAGTCGGAGTGGCAGCTCCAAAAATCATCTTCATGTTGATGAATGGTGCCGACTTTACTCGCCTGGGCAGCAGAGCCTTGGGCTCACCTAGGGTGTGTTCTTCGGGTTGGTGCGGAAGTTGGAGTGATGGTTTTGAAAATCGTTGTTATGTTGTTGGGGTGTCGGTTATCCCACATCATTGGTAGAGTCGAGTAGTGTGTCGCCTCATGGCTATTCGTCACGGAGATTCGGAAGCCGGAGCGAGGGTTCGGGAACTGCCATCGTGTTGTAGGGTGTCATCTTTTATCGCTTGCATGATAGAGTCGTCATCTCGACTGGGCGACTTTCTTTGCAAGTTGGTCAGTTCTCTTTGACTTAATGAAAAAGTAGAATTTTATATGTTGCTTGAAAAAAATGTTAAAAATTAGTATTTTCTAACATGTGATATGGATCACACTTATCGCTTTTACAGTTGCACGAGGGATGTCGTACCCTTTTAACTTGGCAGATCTTAGATGAATGAGATCTTCTTCTACTTGAAGTACAATACAACCACGAAGGTGTAGAGTGTATTAATGCGCTAGAAAGGGTTATTAAGAATACAAAATCCAACAAAGAAACTTTACACACAAGATTTATAATACTAGGGTCGATACCATTATGTTACCTAAAGGTGTGTTCGCAATTGTGTGATGCTTACATATTTATAAACAGTCCATGAAAATATTGCAATGAAAGTAAAAAGATGTTTAACAAACAACATACTCCATACGTCCCATAATGTAAGACGTCTTACATTATGGAACGGAGGGAGTATATAATAAGCAAGATCACATTATACGAACAAAATCATCTTAACTCACCGTAGTGCCGAAATGACGTGAAAGTACACACCAAGTTGGCTATGTTCAAGGAATTTTGCTAACATTGATTCACATTGTGAATTGGTCCTACGCATAGTTTTTGGTCTTATATGACTCTCCTAGTAGCTGGCGTGTTTTCGTGTGTGTATGAGCTGGTGTTGGTTGCATGCATCATAACTATGTAGAGATCGGGTGTGTACTAATTGTGTTATATATCTTTTTGATGGTTCGTTTTAAGCAAATAAAATCCACCCTTCATAAAAAAACATGGTGAAAATTTGTGATTAATATAGATCTTTGGACGATAAAACTTTCAACTCCCGGTGGTAGAGATTGTTGTTAACAAACGTTTTCAGTTACCCTGAGATACTATTGAGATATTGTGTAATGCCATTGTGTAACTCAACCCGTTAGTTTTACTAGGATATCTACTCCAAACCAAACGCAGGTCTTAAACGAGAAGATCGTAACTGCTTGACTCCCCGATCCGTGACACGGAGTGCAGTAAATTATGTTCCTGGCGCGGGATCTCGGGCTTGTGATTCCTTGTGGATATAAAAGCCTGTGTTAAACACTGTAAAAAGGCCTTTGTTAAACGACCTGATGCTCCCCATTTACCCATCCGGATACGCAAAACCGTTGCCAATTACGTGTAATAAATTACTCACTCAATGGTAGGAATAGTAGCGCTTATCGCTACGAGCGATGCAGATCGCAACGAACGCATGCTAAGCTTTAAACAAGAAAATAACCCCTCACGCCAGCGAAGATGCTAGTATGTGTGGGTTAATAAAAGAGTTTAGCTTGAGGCTCCCTTGCCTTGTGCCCGTGAGTAGGAGGGCACAGCCAATCCAGAGCCCTGCAAATGGCGACAATGATGAGATGAGCCCCCTTTTGTTCCCGCCTTTTGAAATTTTGGTGTCTCTCACCAATAATGGAGGAGGAGGAGGAGCCGTCCGGGTCAAGGAGTGTGTGCTGTGCTCCCCACCGCTCTCCCTGCCTGGACGCTTTTGTGCTAGAAAATTGTCCCGTCTTTCTTTCCACGAGATAGATTGATAGTAGTACATGGATATACTACAGAATCGGGTGCCAAGATAAAAACTTGTACGTCCCGGCAACGTAGCATCCGGCACGGCACCGCCTCCTCCCGTGCACCTACTGACCTACAGGGCGGCTACGGCCACAGGTGAAGCAAGCGCATGGACCGCTTCCGTCTCCACATTCCCCGTCAGACAAAGCCCAGACGTTTTGGTTCATAGAATTTCATAACGGCTACTGAACGTCCTGCCCCTTTCCTTTGAGACTAACCACCGATTAATTACTAGTAGCAGTAATAGCTTATGTCGTGGTCTAAGTAGCCGTTATAGGTCTGTAGCTGTGTCAGTCTCGAGCTCCGGCAGCGGCGTGGCACTCTAATCCAACCCGATTAATCTAATCTAATCAGGCGCAATATGATTGATTAATCAAACACTTGGTGGCGACACGAAAGCGACGCCCGCCCTCACGTGCGTCGCCGTATTCACATTGGAACCGGGGGTAGAGCAGCTGCTAATCGCGTCGTACGGCGCGACAAGGATGTGTGTGGACTGGCAGGCCGAGGTGATTAGCCAAGGACGCACGGGCCCGACAAAGAATGGGATTCGGATTCTCCCTGCACTGCAGCCACCAGAAACTGGTCAGCGGATTCAAGACGATTTGTTTTGGTTGGGTTGGGTTGGGTTGGAATTAGATTCAAGAGGGGCTCCAACGTGCCGGAAAAACTGCTGAGCTTGAATTCAATGCCTTGTCCAGGAGGCCGAGTCTAACTAAATTCAGGCAATGCCATATGGCAAGTCAAACCTAACGGCCTCAAATGGTATAATCCTGTCATTCAATCTGACCCATGATTTTGACTGCTCGCTACACTACACTTCAACTTGCTGCTTCAGGTTCAGCATCAAACAGACAGACAGGCGAGAAGAACATGCATGGGAATGAATGAATGAATGGCTTTGTAAGATTCCCATCCGTCCATCTACTCTGCCAGGGATGGGTCT